CATATTTATTACAACGTTTCAGCCCTTCAGTATCTGTCTATATTTCTGAGATGAGGTATTATGTACACTATTTACATTATTCGGACTATTGTCCTCATCTTTGTCGCCATATTTATTACAACGTTTCAGCCCTTCAGTATCTGTCTATATTTCTGAGATGAGGTATTATGTACACTATTTACATTATTCGGACTATTGTCGCTATATTTATCACAACGTTTCGGCCTTCTTCAAGTAATTGGAATGTCGAACTGAACCCATTATTTCACTCCCTTGGGTAGACTTTTCTAGTTCCACTGCACTGGTAAAAAAAATGGTTGATGAAGACATTAGGTTTATAATACCCAGAAATTCATACACAGATGAAGGACACATGGCACAGTGGATAAAGGCGTTAGTTAGATGTAGTGACAGGGCCCAAAGAGTTGTGAGTTCAATACCTGGTTAAGGCGGTGGAGAACTTGGAGAAGTGAATTAACAGGAGATAACTGACATCCATTAAACATAGCACGTGGAACTAGAACAGTCTACCCCGGGAACTAGAACAGTCTACCCCAGTGACCGAAATAGAGTTCAGTTCGACATTCCAACCACCTGAAGAAGTCCGGAGCGTACAACGGCCCAAACGTTGTGATAAATATAGCGACAAAGATGAGGACAATAGAATAATGTAAATAATAGTAGGGTCAACTGTCACTGGATTATTCCATTACCATGACCTTTTGCCAGCCTAAGATTGCCTGCTATAAGAGTGAGTGTTAGTATTCATCATATATGAATGGTCACCATTCCTCTCCATTTCACAATTGTGGTTCATGGTGACACTCAAGGCAGAATAGTGTAATGGCTTGCTGATTTCTTTTGCAACGGGAATGGTGAGGTTACCTCTTCCTTCCTCTCAGAAGTTAGAGGGGCAGACCTACTCGAGAGAAGGCAGTTTGAATTCATTTTTTTCCTAATCTTAGACTGGTTGCCAACCAAGGCTATAGGGTCCAGTCTGTTCTGCTATTTTACCCATAGCTGGGGGAAAAGATGGATTTATACCTTTCCCAAGAGTATTAGTATGTAAGTGAATGCAATTTGAAATTGTCTCTCTAATTCCTATATCTGAGCCAGTATTCATTACAGTATTAGAATTACAAACTATTAATTATACAGAATGATGTATAGCTGGTTACTTACATGTTATTGTACCCCACCCCATGTTCTGGTGGCACTATCGAAATGATTAAAAAAAAATGTTAACTTTCTACACGATCTTAAACAAAAGGTTATTAAGGAAACTTCCAACAATACTAGAAAGAGCGACAACAGCTACTGGACTTGAGAAAACTGTTTTCCTGAAAAATTCTTTTAAGATGAAAATTTTATAAATTTCAACGGAGAGTAATGGAAGTTGTTCGCTCAATGAATGCCGAATGTTTTCTTACAAGAAATCAGCCAATCAAATCATCACGATTAATATTCAAACTTTCACAAGAACGTCGTTACATCGCCAGATTCTATGGAATCAATGAAAGAATTAGTTACTCACCTGATTTTTTCAACAAATTTCCTAGGTATTGAATTTTAGCCCAGGTATTCGGACGGAAGAGTCCGGCTCTTTCTTGGGCACAACTGTCTACCGCTTGATGCCATGTTTTGGTATCGACTGAGAGTTTGAAGCAAATAGCCAATGTTGGTTCATATATGTATCCTTCGTTACCCGGGCAAATATCTATCGAAATTTAAAAAAAAAGAAAAGAAAAGAAAAACAAAGAAAAAGCGAACAGGTAAATTAACAAGGCTTTTATGAATTTGCAGAGTTAGGTTCAGTCTTGCTGAATGATGGGGCACCCAGTGAGTATCTAACTCGCTTGTTTAGTAAAAATCTGACTGCAAGACGAGGTTGTAAGTGCAAAGTGACCCTCCGAAAGAAAAAATGATTGAGAAGATGATAGATAGAAACAGAACGTTTGAGATAGCTAGCTAGATACATACATACATACATATATATATATATATGTGTGTGTGTGTGTGTGTGTACGTATGTTTGTATGTATGTCTGTGTGCGTATGCATAGAGAGATATAGAAGCAGATCTACTGAGATAGACAGAAACAAATAGATCGATTGATATATATATATATATATATATATATATATATATATATATATATATATATAGATAGATAGATAGATAGATAGAAACAGATCGACTGAGATAGTACATAGATAGAAACAGATCGATTGAGATAGCTACATAGATACATATATTTATACATAGAGATATATCAAGATATACTGAGATAGAAATAAATAGATAGAATGCTATATATATATATATATATATATATATATATATATATATAGATAGATAGATAGATAGATAGATAGATAGATCTCAGTCTGTTCTTTATCTATCTAAGCCTTTTCATTTCACTCTCTATCTCTCTCCCAGGACAACTTTAATGTTTAAGACCTAACGTAAATATTCGTGAAGCATTTTCCCCAGAGTTTTGAGCCGAAACCGTGGGAGTACATATCATAATCGTGAGGTAAATTTTAACTTCATATTTCCAACCAAACATGTCGCCATGTTCGGGATGCTATGACATAAAAATGATATACATATGTATAACTAATTAACGTGCAACAAAAATTCTAAACCACTGACAAAACACTGCATTTGAATTAAAAAGAAAATATTCACATAAACCATTTTAGGAGTCTGCTTAACTGCTTGTCCATGTCAAAGGTCGACATCATGTCGTCTTCATCTATGTTGCCAGCGTTGTAGAAGTCTTCGTCATATTCGGTGTTTTAACCATCGTTCACAGAGTCATTTCTCCTTCTTCAAAAAGGAGTTATCTTCACTGCAAACCAGTTAGACGTACGTGGGGTGTAATGGTTAACGTCTCGAAATGATAAATCAGAAAGATGAATTCTTCATACTTACTTATGTACAAATACACTTGGGAAAAATATAAGAATCCATTACCTCCCTAATAGCTGTGGGTTAAATAGTACAGCTTGTTTGGTTTGTTTTGTTTTTGTTTTTTTTTGTTATACAGCAAATCAACCTCTATGTGTTATTTAATGCCGACAAAATTTTTTTATTGCTGATAATATTTTTTCCCAAAAATCTATTGTTGGTAATATATTCTTTTCCCAAAAATCTATTGCTGATAATATTTTTTCACAAAAAAACTGTGGCTGGTAATATTTTTTTTTCAAAAAATCTATTACTGATAATTTTTTTTTCTTCAAAAATCTATTTCTGGTAATTTTTTCTTCAAAAAATATATAGCTGGTAATATTTTTTTTTTTTGAAAAAAGTATTTCTCGTATTAAAACCTATTTTTACACTTTCATAGATTTTTGAGCCCAGTTTAGGGGATCCACAATTTGCCCAAAGCTGGGACCTTGACAGGTGCTACCACTTCGGGTCAGGGTGGACCAGGGAACACCAGCAATTAAGAGGTGGTTCCACACTCCTGAAAAGCTCCTGATCAGAGGCCTTGCTGTTGGACGTAGTTTATAGTACGACTTGTATCTGAAAAAAAAAATCATTAACTCCAACAAATCGTTAAAGTAATATTCGCTCGCAAAAAAAACAAAAAAAAAAAAACAAAAAAAACAAAACAAAACAAGTAAATGATTCTTACAATCCCCACAAAAAATGTCCCGGATTTAAATAACCCACAAATGGTTGATGAGCCGTACAAAAAAAAACAAAAAAAAAAACAATCAATCAATCAAGCTCTTCAATGTGCCCGGGATAGCTTTGATACGATGCTTTCAAGATGTTTTGCCAAGCTTCCGGTGTTTATCTCCCAGTGCGAGCATATTTCGCCACAAGCTTCTTGGATTTTTTTGTGTGTTCATTTTATCCACGATATTGCATCGAGATAGAATCCCAAGTTTATGTAGGTAAATACTACGTTCACGTACGTCCAAATGAATTGGTAGACAGCTTTTGCAGAGAGAGAGAGAGAAACACAACAACCTGTACTATTTAAAAATATTTAATATAAAAATGAAAAAAATAGTAATAAGGAAAAAAGTGGTTACAGACAATGTGTGTCTGCGGACTTAGCGCGAATTATATATTAGGTTGGTGCAAAAATAATGACGTAATAATGTCGTTTTTGACGTTAAAAAATACGTCAAAAACAACATTATTACGTCATTATTTTTGCACCAACCTAATATCTCAAAAAATAGTGCTAAATATAAATTATTTTTTTGTGTCGATATGGACAGGATAAAACAGAGTGGAAAAATTCAGGTTAAATTACTCTTACAAATTCTAAACGGCCAAGTGTGTATTATTCACGAGATATTGTCCCTAGACATCCGTAGACCAAACTGAAATTATGCAACGTATGATTACGGATTATTTGACACATAGAACTTATCCCCTTTTTTTTCTCTCTTTGTGTTGTAGCATGCCTACGGACGATAATGGGTAAATACTGTGTGTTGGTCTGCAGTTGGAGATTCGTTTCCAGCTGTGCTGGTCAAACTCTCTGTCAGAGAGGATCCATAGAAGAGGCTATGTCGAAGGGCAGAGCCTCGTCTCGGGAAAACAGCTACCTGACCCCGTTTTGTACTGGGTCTACGAGAAACTTTTGGCCGAGCCTACGGGCTCGGATGCCTCCACATTAAATTCAGCGTTGTGCCACATTTGACCGCGCGGGCGGTTGGTAGATATCCTACAGTTGGAGATTCATTGTGGAATTCACTTGACTCACTTCTAACAGCTGACGACTACTTCTACGCGCCGCTGGCAAATCTTGTATGTGTTGTTCTTGTCCTAAGTATTATTATTCATTACCAACCTTTCTTATGTTACAACACTGCATTAATAATAAATTAATTTACTATTCGGTCAAAATCATGGAGCAACCATTGACAGTCGAACTCTCTACTCAGTCGTAATTGATGTGGAATTGGAACTCGGCTCCCTGATTAGAAATTCCTAGTTATTATCCATTATACCCACCGGATATCCAAGCTTATAGCACGTAGTATTCCCAGGCGGTCACCCATCTAGGTACTGACCAGGATGAATGTTGCTTAACTCTGGTGATCGTACGGGAACCGATATTTCAACGTTATGTGTCCGTAAGCCCATGGTGTATGATAGAGCATCTTCAGCATAGCGATGCTGTAAAAAGGCCAGACAAAAAGACTGCGCCACTAGCGAAAAATTCAACTTTCAGCACAAAAGGACTTTTTGTTGTTGCTGCTGCAAAAAGTGATCTTTATTATTATGGAAAGTACGAAACTTCAAAGTATGGAGTTAGTAACTAGTGTTGTTACACTAGTATGGAGTTAGTAACTAGCCTTACTACCTTCGACTCGAATATCTGCCTCAATTCAATATGGCATTGAATGAAGCAAGTTACAGATTTTCTCATTGGGAATCCCGCCCCCATTCTTCTTGCTAGTAATCCCAAAGCTCTTGGAGATTGTGTAGTTTTCGTTGGGGCACTTATTTCTTCAGTTCCCACCACAATGGTTCAGTTATATTGAAACCAGTACTTTGTCCTGGCCAGTCTTCCGAAAGTTGAACATCCACAAGAAACGTTTTCGTTGAACGTGATGTATGCTAAGGAGCAACCGTCATGCTGAAAAAGTTCTCCAGCTTCATCGTCATAGTCTAACAGAAGATTATACCATCCGGACATCCAAGTTTCTAGCACATATTATTCCCAGGAAGTTACCCATCTAGATAGCAGTTGATTAACTTCGGTGATCGTACGGGAACAACTATGTGGCCGTAAGACTACGGCTGATGATAGAGATGGTGATGCTGTAAAAAGGCCAGCCAAAAAGATACTGCGCCCCCAGTGAAAAATTCAACTTTCAGCTCTTTTCTTCAGTTAAAAAGGATTTTCTTTTTTATTGTTGTTGCAAAGAGTGATGTTTATTTTGATATAGAGTACGTAAGAGTGCTTGAGTTTGCTAAAAGACATTGTTTTAAGCAGAAAATAGAAAACTCTTATAAATTATGGCTATCCCTGTGTCGGGGTAGCATGTATTTCACGTTCTTTTAAAAATGATCATGTATGGATATGTGTATGTTTTAGAAATTCCCCCACGTTAACTATATCGTGATAAGATCAATTCAATATGGCTGCCTATCATGATAGCGTAATGTCACCAAGTAACTCACAGTGGCCATCTTATTGACTGTGATCATCTAATTTCAAGCCTTCAACACTGCCGATATACGCAAATGATTTATCCCAGATGGTGAGTATTCTTCACTCAAAAATATAGCAAACTTTAAACGACATATATAAACAGTCTGTCTGTGGATAACAAATATATATATATATATATATATATATATATATATATATATATATATATTCAGTTATATGGATATGAGTTTGTAACCCCTGTAAGCAGAAAATAGAAAACTCTTATAAGTCAGTCAATGTCTTCTTATTAAATGTAACTATTTAGCAAAATTTAGCAGATCTGGCCTTCGATTCATGTTAAGAGATAGATAGATAGATAGATAGATAGATAGATAGATAGATAGATAGATAGATGACCACACTGATAACGATAGATAGATAGATAGATAGATAGATAGATAGATAGATAATGAACACACTGACAGCCATAGATAGATAGATAGATAGATAGATAGATAGATAGATAAGGAACACACTGACAGCCATAGATAGATAGATAGATAGATAGATAGATAACCACACTGACAACTATAGATAGATAGATAGATAGATAACCACACTGACAACCATAGATAGATAGATAGAGATAGATAGATAGATAGATAGATAGATAGATAGATAACCACACTGACAGCCATAGATAGATAGATAGATAGATAGATAGATAGATAGATAGATAGATAGATAGACAGATAATGAAGACATTGACAGCCATAGATAGATAGATAGATAGATACATAGATAGATAGATATGAACACAGTGAGAAAGCGTTCAGATTCTGTAAGCATAAAAACGGCCTAAAACGTCAATTTTACTATCTCATAAGACTAAGAGAGAAACATTGCTGATCTCTGCTCCGAGAGAACATCTGATATGTCACACGGCTCGATCTCCGTTTTTTTTTTAGGCCGGCCTGCGTGTCTCGAACGGCAAATCCAGATCAATCAGTGGACGACAAAAGAATCAAAATTGATCCGCGTCTGCCGAGAGAGATCAAAGAGAAACTATCACTGAACTGGTCCGGGCTGACAAGTAACTTAATAATAATAATAATAATAATAAGAAGAAGAAGAAGAAGAAGAAGAAGAAATCAATAAATAAATAACAAGAAAATAAATATTAATGATTCTGTTTGATCGGTGGCCAATGAGATCGTCTCAAAGCTTGTCGATCTTTCGATCAAAAAGAACTTGCTGGAAAATAGAAAATATTATAAAAAAAATAATAAAAGATTTAATATTGACAAGCAAGCCTTCACTACATTGCCAGGCTCAAACTAGTTTACAGAATTACCATAAATGTCTACCTAATATTTTTCTATCCTTTCTTTTTACATCTTTTCCCGCCACCAGCCCTTTCAGATCGACATTAAATATTCCATTAAGATAATTAAGAACCTTATGTATTAAAATAAAAAACGAGACGAGTTAGAAGTAATTTCTCTTGCCTTTTCAAAGCGGCATAAGATCAATTCAATATGGCTGCCTATCATGATTGAGTAATGACGTCATCCAGTGTCTTCTTATTAAATGTAACTATTTAGCAAAATTTAGCTGATCTGGCCTTCGATTCATATTAATAGATAGATAGATAACAGTCCATCAGTTTCGAAGACGTTCCACTGCCATATTTGTACAATGTCAGCTAAATCTTACAAGTGTCACTCAAGTTTATTTAGCTTTTTATTCCTCTTGCCTGCATAGACTTGAACTTCCAGCTCCTAATTCGTTCAAAGACAATATATATTAATAATTATATTAAATGCCATGTACATGGCTCTCCACAGCTTCCTTTCTTTGACTATTTTTATAGTAATGTTCACCAAATACAAGGCCAAGGGCCCCTCAACTCAGGATGAGATCGCTATTAGAAGAAGGACGTGAGAAGTGTAGGTATGTAGTATAAATAAAAGCACCCACTCCAAAAATAGTTCTTGGGAAGAGAGTCTATCTGAGTGAAACTTCCTCCTTACTAATGGAATACGGGGAAAATGTGGATGAATCACCTCTGTGTACGTGCCATTGCGGATCTTAGCTGTGAAAGTCTGAAATGGCGGAACGAAAGGATGTAGCTCGTTTGTTCATCTGCTACAAAAATAGCGAAGGAGTAGAGAGAGGCTAGTATCGTTTCGTCTGTGAGGAAAGGGGTTTGTAGCGTGACAGATAATTCATCACCCACAAGGACGTATAAACACATCTGAAAAAATTGTGTAGTTAGAGACAGTGAATCAACTTTCCTAGCTTAAGACTTAACACTTGATTCAATATACTCTTTCCACATCATATCAGCGGTAAACTCTAGTCCGAGAAAGCGAACTGAGTCACTCTCCTGGAGATTAGCATCAGCCATGTTGATAGACAGTAAAAAGGATTATACGAGACGATTAAAAGGGAGTAGTTTCGTTTTGAGGGCGTTAAACTTAACATGCCATTCCCTGTTCCAGTTAACAACAGATTGTAGGTCAGTTTTGAGATCAGATACCGAGCTGAGAGATGAAGCCATCAGGAAGGTCATTGATGAAACTTAGGAAAAACGTAGGTCCAATGATAGAGCCCCGAGGCATGCCTGCATTTATGCAAAAAGATCTAGAATAGTGGCCGTTCAAGACAATATGTAAAATAGAGTCTGTCGCGAAAAATTGTGTAGTTAGACACAGTGAATCAGCTTTCCTAGCTTAAGATTTAGCACTTGATTCAATATACCCTTTCCACCTCATATCAGCGGTAAATGCTAGTCCGAGAAAGCGAAATGAGACATTCTTTTGGAGATTAGCATCAGCCATTTGATAGACGTTAAATAGGATTATACGAGACGTTTAAAAGAGAGTAGTTTCGTTTTGGGAGCGTTAAAATTAACATGCCATTCCCTGCTCCAGTTAACAACAGATTGTAGGTCAGTTTAGAGATCAGCTGTCAATTTGACCTTATCAAACCAATCAGACTTACTATTAAGTCAGTAGTCGTGTCATCAATAGAGACACCGAGATTAATGACCTCAAGAAGGTCATTGCTGAAAACTAAGAACAGCATGGGTCAAAGGATAGATATGGCAGCAGGTCACCGGCATTTCTGTTTTGTTTTGTTTTATTTATTTATTTATTTATTTATTATTTCTGAGGAAAAGCGACATATTTGTTTTAAAAAAAAGCCACATTGAGTTGAACTGGGTTGGGTTGGATTGGCTGATTTCATTGTCTAACTATGTCGAGCCTTTTACCGCATCTAAACTACACTTAGAAAATCACCATAACAACCTATTTTGAGTTATTTAATTTCGATATGTTTTTTTTTTGTTTTTGGGGGGTTTTAGTCTATAACTATTTACCGTATCTATTCGTGTTTCATACAACTTTTGATGACCTAATTTTGAAGCAATTTTTAAGTTGGTCGCATCATACACGAGATACAATCCCACTAAACACGCCAAAACACTTTAGCCACATGTTGTACGCATTCATAAATTTCTTTCTACCTCCATCTGCGTCGAACGTCAGCATAAACGATCAATTTTTCATCCTCTCTGACAATTCTGTCCAAGAACGGCTCCTTTTCGCGGCATAGCAGCAAAGAAATCGCCGTAGAAAACTGTGGCACCATGCATACCTGACGAGCTGAGAGAAATATTCATAGATATATGATTTGTTTTTTACGGTTTATCAACCATTTAATAATTATTTAAGGCCGAAAAATATTTTGGGTTTTAAGAATAATTCTTTCTTTACATTCAAGCGATCTGGGAGAAAGAAAGAGAAAACGAAGAAGATAGAAAGAAAAAATAATACGAAAACAGGTCATAGGCGAGCACACACACGCACGGCTGACAGATAACAGGTGTCGAAAAAATATTCAGGTCAAGATCTGACTGATTTCCGCGGATCCGCGAAAATGGAAGTTTGTTATCAATTGGTTGTCACCCAAGGGAAAAGAAAGAAAGGAGGAAAAGGGGAAACGAAGTTTAGGGACACTGAAAATATTGATAAGTAACAAGTGGGAAGTGTGTCATTGGAATGATAGTAAAGGTCTAAGTGGGTAGGGAAGTGTATCTAAGGATATGAAGACAAACCATTAATACGTAAACACAGACAGTCTCCAGAATTAGAACAAGCCCACACAAGGCGTTGTCGCTGGCGAAATTTTTTTTGAGATAATAAAGATTTTTATTATCAGACCTTCGAGCGGAGGAAAATTGAAATATTTTTATTCCGTCTCAGAAACGCCAACGAGTCTGAGAAATTCCTTTCTTAGATCCAATTCATAAATCCACCACGTGTTAAAAAGCCGAAATTAATGATAAGGGCGATTTAAATTAATATTTTTGTTTTTTAAGCAAGGTATTTCTTTCCCAAAACAAAGCCACGGACTGTCCACGCCCGACTAAAGACGTCATTGGCTAAATAAGATCACATGACACACGAAGGAGGAGGAAAGATACCCGACCAGGACCTCATTGGCCAAGAGCGGTCACGTGACGCACGAGGAGAATCGGTCGACGCCCTGTCAGAAGTGTAAGTGTGAGAAGCCGATACGAAGAAGCGGGGAAGCAGGCACACGCCCCTCAGAGGCACAGTAAGGGAGTGGGGGTGAGAGTGAGTTACCGAAAATGGAAAAGAATGAAAAATCCCTAACCAGAAATAAGAAGGGTGGATACGTATTTAGAATTATCGAAGAACCCCTGGCGCCGAGAGACCCACCCCAGTTTTGACTGCGTCAATAAAAACGAGACCCCAACCGACAGAAATCAGTTCAGCCGCGGACGGCGGAAGAGTTCAGCCGCGGACGGCGAAAGAGTTCAGCCGTGGACGACGGGGGAGTTCAGCCGCGGACGGCGGAAGAGTTCAGCCACGGACGGCAAGCGGAGTGGAACCGCGGACGGCGGCCCGAGTTCGGTCGCCCACTTTGCGGGCAAGAGAGGCCAGTTCGTTTGGCCTAAGTGAAGAAGTTCGTCCGACCCAAGCCTAAGAGAAGAAGTTAGTTCGCGCACCGACGGCGGAGATAAGTGACCAGTAATTCAGACTCTGGAGGGAAAGAGTTCAGTTCAGTTTGTTCGACCCAAGCCGGAGAGAAGAAGTCAGATTGAGCCGCGGGCCCTGGCGAGAAGTTTTGAACCTTGGACGACAAGCAGAGATGAGCGCCCAGTGTTGAAACCGCGTCAAGATAGCTGACCAAGATTCACGCACACTTCTGGACTCGTCTTCAACCAAGAACAAGTAGTTTGAAGAGCGACTTAGAATCAAGACCACAGAAATAAGTTTTTTTCGATTTTCGTCCAAAGACACACCGAAACACAAATTTCTTAGAGAGCAGACAACTTGAAGCCTTAAAGTTGCCTAGTAAATGCGTCGTGCCACAATCCGCAGAACGGGTCGGGAAGTAGACATAGTCCTATGTACCGAACAAATAGACATAAAAAGTTTGTTACCTTTTTCTTTGATACGTTGGACCTTGTGAGTTTTTATTTTATTTTCTTTTATACATAATTGTGTGTTATCACCCCCGTTGGACTCAACTTGCATTACGGCCCCAACCCCTGTTTGATCTCGTCTGTCTAAGATCAATTCACAACGTGGGTAGGCAGACTGGAGATCAGTGCAGTTACCCTGGTAACCAGGCGTTGGAAGCGGGTTGGGAACGGCGAGGTTGGTATCAATCCAACCAAAGGGTTAGAACGTCACGTTTGGAGCAGCGAGGAGCGAACAGCTGACGCCGCGGCAAAGACGTCACAGTTGGTGCTGTCCGTGACCAGGATATCAGAGCCTGGGGAGCACGTGACGTCACAATTGGCGCCGCGACCGGGATCGAACGACACAGTCGACGCTGCGACCGGGGGACGACGTCACAAAACCCGATCGAGTTTGTTCATATACGACAGAGAATGTGATACCCACCTGTTGATTTTTTTTTTAAACGAATCCATGTCTCTTCGAATGGTGAAAGAGAGTTGAGATATCGATTTTCAAACTCTTAGCAATCTCTTTTGAAATCTTCAGGTTATTCTCCACGATGGCAAGCAGAGCCACTTCATTGACGTTGGGAGTTCGCCCGTAGCGTCTTTGATCGTTTTGGTTAAAACCAGCCTGACGTAATCGACCAAACAATTTTTTGACCGTCTGGAGAGCTGGAACAGGATCCAAAGAAACCTCCCAAATGTTTTTCTTTTTTTCCATCGCTTAAGTCATTCCGAAATTAATCGAGTTGATAATCTGGCAAAAGGGCAACTTTTTATCCTCCATCTTTAAAGCATTCATTAGTGGGCAAAATATCAGCATTCAACAACGTCTGACTCGCAATTGAACAATGCAAGATTTCGATTCTAGAACGCAATGGCAGACGGCACGAAAACAAATGCCAGAGTGGTCATTTCATACAATAGAAATCAGGCATGAACATTTGCAATGATCTGATAGATAGAAACCAAAACATCTCATCAGGTGGTGAACAATCTTTGTTCACCACCTGATGAGATGTTTTGGTTTAAGTACTGAAACAAATATGTATCTTTGTAGTGATTACTTGTTTGTTCGTATGTAACAAATTATAATAAATAACTATTGCTCTACATTTGGTATTGAGCCCTCTTTTAAATTAATGTTATGAACGTTTGAATTTATATTCGTTTCATTCTCATTACATTTGTCTATATATATATATATATATATATATATATATATATATATATATATATATATAAACAGGCTAAGAAAGAAGAGATAGAGAGAATCATGCTTAAAATAATTAGTAGAAAGATTGCTAAAAAATAAAGTAAAGGAAGGAGATTAGCCTTGAAGAAAGAATGAATCAACAAAAAATAAGTCTGAGAAAGAAAGAAAGAAAGAAAGAAAGAAAGAAAAGAAAGAAAGAAAGAAAAGAGGTCTGGACAAGAAAGGTCTGGGAAAGAAAGAAAGAAAGAAAGAAAGAAAGAAAGAAAGAAAGAAAGAAGAACAGAACAGAAGGAAGGTCTGGGCATGAAAGAAAGAAAGAAAGAAAGAAAGAAAGAAAGAAAGAAAGAAAGAAAAAGAAAGAAAGAAAAATAGAGCAGAACAGAACAGAATAGAAGGAAGGTCTGGACAATAAATAAATAAATAAATAAATAAAGAAAGAAAGAAAGAAAGAAAGAAAGAAAGAAAGAACAGAAGGAAGGAACAGAAAAGAAAAAAGAAAGGAAAGAAAGAAAGAAAGAAAGAAAGAAAGAAAGAAAGAAAGAACAGAAGGAAGGTCTGGGCATGAAAGAAAGAAAGAAAGAAAGAAAGAAAGAAAGAAAGAAAGAACAGAACAGAAGGAAGGTCTGGGCATGAAAGAAAGAAAGAAAGAAAGAAAGAAAGAAAGAAAGAACAGAACAGAACAGAAGGAAGGTCTGGGCATGAAAGAAAGAAAGAAAGAAAGAAAGAAAGAAAGAAAGAAAGAAAGAAAGATCAGAACAGAACAGATGGAAGGTCTGGACAAGAAATAAATAAATAAATAAAGATTGATTGATTGATTGATTGATTTCAATCCATGACACACCGGAAATCTGCACCAAATAAACGCTAGTGTGGAATTGCGGTCATTTTATATTAACAATGACATCTAAATATATAATCGTTTCACCCCCCGACCAAGAAGACAATGCCACTGGAAAGCAGGGGGCAACAGCGAGTGAAAGTGAAAGTGAAAATGAACGAGAAGTTTAAAAATGGGAAGGATTGAAGAAAAGACAAAAAAATGAAACAGAGTTCAAGACGATATCACAATGGCATTTACATTTTTGAAGATTTTACTTATCAGGGAAGCAAGAAATTGGGAGTTCCACAGGTGGGAAGTGCGAAAAAACATTGTAGAATTGGTGGTTGCATCTAGCCTGTTCGACAGTAAAACAGTGAGACTTGGTTGCCAATCTAGTAGCAGGCTTAAATTCATGAAGTCGTGACACCAAGATGAAGAGCTCATTAGATACAGTTGCCGTGAAAATATTCATACACCTGACAGAGGGAAACCACGTCACGCCGGTGAGAAAGTAACTGGAGGCGAAATGCCTGGTTAAAATAGATTGTATAGATCCTTCTCTGGAATTTGTCAAGAATCTCGAAATGCTCAGCAGGAATACCAGATCAGATATGGCAACAGAATTCAATACGTGGACGAATGGTAGATGCATAGCTGTGCACGATAGATTCTGACGAGATTTTTTTTTTTTTTTTTTTTGGCACGGCACAGTGAACCAACTTTCCCTGCAGCTAACGTAGCAATTGAATCTATAGTCGCTCCACTTCATGTCAGTGGAAAACGTGAGGCCAAGAAAGCGTAGATCAGGCATGGGCAAACATTTTCGAACAGTTGGCCGCACGCGGAACAGTTCATCATAAGGTAAGTCTTACTACTAAAAATCTAATAATCAAGGTGTTATGAACGATCAAGGGTGGTCTCATCTTGTTTTGTTACTCTTCTCTTTGAGGGATGTATTTCTGTTTACTGGGACTATAAAAGAACACTACACGCGAACCTTGTATTCTCAGTTGAATAAAGCTTTCTTAAAGACTAGACCTGCGTACTTTTGTCGTTACACAAGGTAAGATTTTTTTTTTATTAAAGACTAGCAGCATGGCCCGGAGTTGCCCGTGCTTGATTCAAAAATCGTACGACTCATACAGCAATCGCTATCACTTGACTTTTTTTGCCCTTCCTTGCCTTTAAAGAAGTGCCCTTTGCTGTGCTGATGTTGCTACATGCCTTACTTCTTGCCTATCTCACCCTAATTTTTTTCTAAGCTCTATACTAAACATTAAATCTGTTACGAAAAAAGAACTAAACAAAATGAACACAAAACGATCAGCTTTAAAAAAAGGACTCGTAACTGGAAGAACCGAATGAAAAAAGAATGTTAACAACAAATACTTTTTCACACCCAACCCAATTCTGCGGAATCAGAATCAACGTTGAGTTTAAGCAAGCGAATGAGCCAATTGGAGTAAAGTGCCATGCAGATTTAAATTTTTCTCACTTGTGACGAATGCAGCTATAGATTTTTTTTTTTTTTTGCTTTGCATACTAGCATGCTAGTTAACATTCGTGTCAGTCAGCTATTGGCTCTCACTCTGGCTAATAGAAAATGGCCGCAAGGTACATGAAAAGTGCCGTAGAAGCATGAAAAAAAAAAGATTATTTCCACTATCGATGGGAGTTGGGAATGCGAAGTCGGTCTTGGCCTTCCTGCTAACTTGGAGCATGTGCATGTAAATTTAGGTGAAAATCCGTCGAAAATTGCGGCCGTGCATTCGTTACACACGCACACACACACACACACACATCCTGCCTATTATATATATATATATATATATATATATATATATATATATATATATATATATATATATTGTATTGAGCACTTTTTTTATTATTTTAGCTTTTGATAGGGAGAGCTTTACCTTTGATTGTGGTAGATGCTTTTTTCAGTACCCTAATTATTTTATATTCAATGTTTTGGGTTTTTTTTAAGCATTTTACCCCAAGCAAGTCAGAAGTGCCATTATCACACAAGGGGTTATGGAGAGTGAAAATGAGAGAAAAGTGTGTGTGTAGGGAGGATTGAAGAAAGGAAAAAAGAACAGGTATCAACGCAACAAAACATGGTGACTGATGTTGCATTTAGGTTTCTGATGATTGTAGTTATCAGGGAAGCAAGAGAGAGGAATGGAGTTCCAATATGGAGAAGTGCGAGGAAAGAAACTGTTAGAAGGGCGGTTACATTTAACTATTTCAACAGTAAAAAGTTGGGACCTAGATGCCAATCTAGTAGTACACTTAAATTCATGTAGTCATGGCACCAGGGGAAAAATGCTCATCAGTGCAGTAGTCATGAAAATATTTGTAGAAAAGACAGAGGGAAGCCACATCACGTCTGTGAGAAAGCGGCTGAAGTCAAGAAGCTAATTCAGTACCGATTACATTATAGATCCTACTTTAGATTTTTTTGAGAATATTGCAGTAAGGGAAGGTTGGGGAAAATTTTATTGGATAAACTTTAACTGCGCAACCAGTAATAAAAATCACAGAAATGCAATCTATGTTGTTATTCATTTAAACATCATCATCATTTAATCGTATATATATATATATATATATATATATATATATATAATATATTTAAAGTAATAATAATAGTAATAAAAGTAATAGATAGATACACATACATATACATACATATACATACATATATACATACATATATATAAACTTACCTAGTTACAAACCTAATACATATTTTTCAGTGTTTGATGCAAAATAAATGTTTATTTTTAAGACTATATAAACTTATTTCAATTTTTTTCTTCCAGGCATAGTTTGCATCTGTTTATATATATATATATATATATATATATATATATATATATATATATATATGAATTAAGATCAGATATTGATAGGAATGCAAGAGAATGATAGGATAAGTGACAAATAGGAAATCTTTATAAATCTGACATGCTTTGCTTTTATTAACACTTGAGATGAGGAGGTTTATTTTCCACAAGGGTCCGACAGGTGAAGGTGAGAGAGGGAGCACGTCGCGGCGTTTAACCGTGCTTTTCAAACTGATTTCGTGCAAAAACAATTGTGTTTTTCGAATTCTTGGCGCTGTCAGAACCACCACCGGGTAATTTTACGTAGCCCTGTGAAGTTTTGTTGAAATCGGTTGAAAAATGTAGGAAATACGATCCCAAATATAAACGTACACACACACACACACACACACACACACACACACACAAACAAACAAACAAACAATCTGCGTTTTATAAGTAAGATGCCACGGACGTTCGCACAGCAAAAAAACATGCTCAGAAGCATCTTAGAAATGGGGAAAAGTAGATTATTTTCTTTTCTTTGGAGAATAGATTCCTTCTATAATTAAGAAAAACTGAAGTCTTCGTATAATATTACCACTGATAACAAAGTGATAAACACACGCTGATATGTGATTAGTATATTCATTCTCTATAGAAATAAGTGTCATTAACGTGTCCGATTTCTGAAGCAAAAGTTGTTTACCGTTATGAAATCGCCAATGGTTTAAAATGCTTACAATGTTACCTTCAACGAAATGTTACAAGACCCAAGAAACAGTGTACTTAATCGTTGTTTATGGATGTCACTTAGGAATGAGAGAGTTTGTGAGTGGACAAGTGAGAACCAAAGGAAACAAACATTTTAATAAACGTTATTTTCCTCAAAGAAATTAGACGTGCAATTCAGAATGCCTGTCGGCTCGCATGTGACCCGCGGGCCGCAGTTTGTCCATGACTGGCGTAGAGTGTTGCTGTTGCTTTGAGTTCAACA